TAATATGAGAAGGGAAGGTGCAGATTGGAAACTAGTGCTTTCCAACTGCCCTAACAATTGTGGCAATAATATGAGAAGGGATGGTGCAGATTGAAAACTAGTCCTTTCCAACTGCCCTAACAATATGGCCTGGAACTTGTTTCTTCAGACCACTTGCCTAATTTGCCTGCTCTGCCGTATGATTGGGAACTGCAATTACGTTTTCTGGGAATTTCCGACCTTGTACTCGATTATTCAAATAAATTGAAGTGGAAGGTCGGAACTTTTTGGAGGGAGCAATTGCATATTTTTATTCATGCGGCCTAATATAAACATATGTAATATAATATATATAGTTATTGTATAAATAATTTGCAATAAGAACATTAACATTCATATACATATGTACGAATATCATAGTTGTATTATTAGGTCGTAAGACTGTAACAAATAAATAAATAAAATAAATAAAATATCTCAGTCGTTGTCGTCAAGTTGCACTAATGGCAGCCCTAGGAAGCGTGCAGCTTCTATTGGGTTGGTCCACAAGGACAAAGCCGTTAGGGTCGTCGGGTTTTCCGGGCATGCGAAGAGATGTTTCGAGTCATGTGGGGTCTCTCCGCATGCCGGACACTCATTTGGCACATCCTCATTCAATCTACTCAGGTAGGAGTTTAACCTGCTGCAGTAGCCAGAGCGGAGTTGGGCTATTGTCGTTCGTGTCTCCCGACGCAGATGAAGCTCCGTCTCGTCTATGTCCGGGGGCGGTATGGACTTCGGTGTAGTAAAATTTAATGTGGCGTGCTGGCCAACTAAACAGCTCTAACTAAATAAACTTCAGTAGAAACAACTTCAGTAAAAACAAGCTGTTCAATTACCAGGATGAAAATAAAATATATATTAAGATGAGCAGATGTCAATCGGCACTAGCAAAAACGGTCAATTTCATTTGATTTCTAAGAAAATATAAGAGTTTGTTTGTTTATCAACGATAACCCGAAAACTTGTAATAGGATTTCCTGAATTTACCCAACTCAAAATAAATCTATTTTTATTACGACGCGCACATGCGTTCTACTTAAAAAACTTAATACAACTAGAAATGTCACTATTTTGTTGGGTGGAATCGGCGTTCGCTCGTTCAACAAAAGGGGTTTATAGCGTCATCTAGCCTTGAGTACTGGAGCTTTTGTTTAATCGATTATATTTGTCAGTAGGCAGAGGGTTAGGCACGGTGCACATTAGAGCAAAGCGATGAAAACTGGGCCGTGCGATACTGCTGCGACATACACCCCTATTGCGAGTGTCGACTAGTAGTATATAAACGACAATTTGTGGATTATCCATGGTATTTTGAATGTCGTTTTCACGTTCAACAAACAGTTGTAGAAGGATGAGCGCCTGGAAACTATTCACATTCGCTCATTGAGCGCAAAATCAAAATTTACAATACCATGGAAAGTCGATAATCAAATAATAATCGTTTATCTACTACCAGTCGACACTCGCAATAGGGGGGATAATATCGCTTGCGTATCGGCCGAGCGACACGGTTTGCTATCACACCGCATATGGTATCGCGTGTCGTATGGCTCTAATGTGCACTGCGCGTATGTCGATGTCGCTTTCATATCGTATCGCGCATCGTAACGCGTATCGTATTGCATATCGTATCGCTCTAATGTGCACCGAGCCTTAAGGAGCTCGCTGGTATGCATAAGTCAAAAAATAATATTTTTGAGTTGTCTCTCTTTAGATCTAGGTGCGCAATGTCTTCTTTTTCAAAATTTTCTGAATCATTCAGAACACTAAAGCATGTAGCTGTAACGCAACTTTGGCAAACATTTGCTAAGCTTATAAACTCTTTTATATAGAATTTTTCACTGTTATGAGAAAAGGTCATTCGATACTAATTTTTTTTTAGTTAGATTAAAATATATTGATTATTAAAATTTAAATTATTATTCATTAATAGGGGAAGGATTTTATAGAAGTTGCCTTTTTCTGTTAAAAATTGCCACGATTCCAATTATTCACATTTCGACGGCTGAGTGGAAGATCGACCTATCTCGGCAGCCGGTTCGAAAAAGCCCTATCTGAGAAAAATTTTCAAGAACGCCGTATCTCAGAATTTGATTGTCCTATATCAGAATTCGGTTCAAAAACGCCCTATCTCAGCTGCCGCTCTCAGCAAAACGCTCTATATCAACATATTTTCAACATATTTTCAGTTGAGATAGGGCGTTTTTGAAGCAAATTCCGAGATAGGGCGTTCTTCAGCCAAATTCTTAAGTAGGGTGTTTACGAACCAACTGCCGAGATAGGTCGATCTTCTACTTAGCCGCCGATTTAATGTTGCCTTTTTCATGATATTGCCCTTTTTTGCCTTTTTTACCTTTAGTTAAGTGACTATAGCCTATTTATAATTTTTCAAAAATTGTGACGTGAATTAAAAAATAAATAATATAAAAAAAACTTTTTAATATACAACGCTTTTATAAATGGACTAAAAAGTAGAAAATAATATTTCTCAGTCCCATAGAATTTGTTTTGATAACTTTTGATTTTGAAATTTTAGCAAAAGTCATTATAAACAATCTATGAAATTGAAAATGAAAAACGTGGAGCGCATGCAATACAAAGCATTCGATTTAATTGACAATAGTCAAACTACATAACGTAGACCTAAAATTTCTACAGCGAAAGTAGAACTTTGAAATCGATTTTAAGCGGTCGTTATTCATATACCCACATACATACATACATATATTACTTTTCATATTAATTCAAGTGTATTACATGCGCCCCACGCTTTTCATTTTCAATTTCATAGATTGTTTATAATGACTTTTGCTAAAATTTCAAAATCCAAAGTTATCAAAACAAATTCTATGGGACTGAGAAATATTATTTTCTACTTTTTAGTCCATTTATAAAAGCGTTGTATATTAAAAAGTTTTTTTTATATTATTTATTTTCTACTTTTTAGTCCTGTCTGAATAAAATCTTGCAATAGGTATTAAAATAATTCAACGATATTAATAGAAAGGTGCATTTACATATGTATGTACATACAAACGAGCACCAATTAATTTTATTTAAAGAAATGGCGTGTCGTCTATTTCCGCTGTAGCAAACGTAGTACATAGGGCGACATCTAGATGTCATCTACCTCGCCCTATTCACTACAGATGTCGGCCTATGCACTATGCTTTTTTATAGGAACTTTTCAAAGCAAAGGTTTTATGGTGTCGGACACACAACATTGAAAGTTTCTGGACACACAACATTGCAAGTTGATAAAAGCGTTGTAATAATTAGTATATAAAACTGGTGTTGGAGACTATAAAAGACGTTGATAAAGCACGTTGATAATTTGGGGACCACTTTCGAGATTCACCTTGTGATTCAATGTTACTACAGTTATATAGAAAGGTTTTGTGAGTTAAAACGCAAACGACGAATCAATCCAATATTCAAAGTACAAATTTTTGGTATTATGAAACTAGTTACATTAAAATAAACACTTCTAAAATAAATGTGCCTTTTTGTCTATTTTTGTTTTTAGCGACTTTTGTCTTCCTTTTTTTTGTTTTTTTGTGATTTTCAGTGATTTTTCCTGTTTATTTGTTATGTTACTTTATAGTTGTTTTTATCAATATAAAAACTATACATACATAGTGCTTAGAGATCGCACGAGATGGTTAATTATGTATCTGGTTATCAATCAGACTTTAAATACCTTTGCATGAGTTTTAATTTGATCCAACTTTTGTCGTAAATCCGTAATTACGGCATTCTGGCTGTTATCAGTTTCTAAAGAGTACCTCCGTTCAGAGTTATTTTCATTTCGATGGCCTTCTTGGTCTAACGGAGCCGATGGTGAAGAAACATTTGTACCTTCGTCGTCAATAGACTGCTTACTGTTGTTCAAAAGAGAGCCGCGTTTTTCACTCTCGATATCACTTACATCACTTAATTCCTCATGACTGATGTTTGTCCCGCTGTTACGGAAATTTGAATTAGGGCTATTGCTTCCACTGCTGTTAGAAGATGAACTTGAATGTCTCGAACTACGTTGAGACTTTGGAGCCCGAGGTGACGGAGTACGACTTCGACTTCCTATTGTAATAAATATTGTAAAACAAATTCATAAATAAATATATTGCAAAATGCAGTTCTACAAAAAAAATTTAAAAGCATAGCTGAAATACATATATTTTGTGAAGAAATTAGTCTTATGGCGTATTCATTTCTACAAAAAATGTTGCCGTTTCCTTGCCCGCTCCTTAGCGTTTGTTCAAAGAGGGCAACATTTTTTGGTTGAAACGAAAACGCCATTAACTGTTTAACAGTACAGCTTTGATGCATCGAAATGCTACAACGAGTTCAAATTTTAAAGTTTTTAACAAAAAATTATTTACCACTCATTTATTTATTTATTTATTACTTGCAATCAATTTCAAACCCGGTTTAAAATAAGATTTCCAGGTAAACAAAAAGATCAGAATAATAGCTATTATATACTATACATAGTATAATAATAATAATAGATTGACCCTTACACAGATGTATGTTAGTGTTTGACCGAGCTTCTCCTCCGATTTGTAGCGTGCGTGTGAGAAGCGGTTTTTCATGGCAGAAATACACTTGGAGGTTTTGATATTGCCTGCCGAGGGGCGACCGCTATTAGAAAAAACTTTTTCGTTTATTTTATTTTTTGATGTTGGTCGGAAACAGGGCTTGAACAGAGGCCCTGCGGAATGGTAGCGCGCACTGCTAACCATAGCGGTTGCTAATTGTTAGTTTTTAAAAAAATTTTAAATCTTCTTTGTACATTTGCAATCATATTTGTTGCGTTTACCGTTATGTACAAACATTAGTTGATTTACTGAAATATAATAACTGTTAAAAACGAGCCATTCTCTTGGGGTGTTCGAACCAGTCATATGATATTAAGTAATCATTCGCAATTTCCTTGTACGTGAAATAAAGTTTTACGACCGGTTGGGGTAAGGTTTAACCCCTTACTGCCAAACCAGAATGGTGATGCTGTGGTATGTAGCAAGAGCTGTCAAAAGTTAAAATATTCTAAATGCTCTAAACTGCCCACAATATGTAGCTGTGGTTATGGTGTATTATTTCTGATGTAGCTGATGTAGCTAGCGAAATAGCTTGTGGCTGTGGTACTACATTCTGTTTAGCCAGTTAACCCCCCTTCGCCGATACTGAATTCTATAAACTGTCAGTTTTCACAAAATTTATTTTAAATTGCCATGAAAATTGTGTTGCTAGCTTCATGTTGCCAACATATTGCTAGCTTTTTCACAGCGTGAACAGAATATGTACTACTTTAGGCTAGTATTCTGTTCACAGCCGTGAAATTTTTTCAGCAACACATATCGTCCCGTTTCTGCCTTAACCACGTATCTACAATTATTACCACTTATAACAGCAACTTAAGCGTCACACTATTTGAAAATAAAACAAAGACCTTCCCCGCAAACCTATTCTGAGCGTTCAGAATATATGAGTCCGAAAGGAGTCCTAGGCAGGTAAGAAATATGAGTTTGAAAAACAAAAAATTTTTTACTCTTATATGAATCTTTTAGGGCTCATATATGATCCAAGTTATGAGCTAGCACCTTGTGGCAATATAAAAACAATAAAGATTCGAAATTTATATCTATACTTGTTTATACAGAAATTGAAAATAATTAGAAAACAAAAAATTAACAAAATTTAGCTGCAGCTGCTATGAAATTCATGTTGAAATGTGTATATGCACGTAAGTATGTATGTATGTTATTTGAAATAAATTTTTGCTGAATTCCTTTGCAAATATAGTGCGTTAAATAAGACCCAAAGAACAACCTAAAATAAGAGTCCGAATGTAGTAATTTATGAGGCCGATAAGAGCCTCAAAAAGAGTCGGAAATGATTCAGGCCAAAAATTGTTTTAAAAGAGTCCAAAATGAGCCATATATGAGGTCAATAAGAGTCCAATATGACTCATATCGAGACTCATTTGATGTATGAATTTAAGCTTATATAAGTCGACCTTCGGAGGAAGGGAAACACCCTCATATCGAACTCTTAAATGAGCTCATTATGAGTGTAAAGGCTCCAAAATAGGACTCCTTAAAGACTCATTTATGACTCCAAATGTTTGCTGGGTTATGTGGGTGCTCCCTAGTGTTAGTAGAACCAGAAATATTAAATAAAACATGCGTTTATTGTATCCTAGGGCAAGAAAATTAGCTTTGTTTCTTTCACTCTCTAGAATAACTCTATTGCAGATACGAGGTCAACGCAGAGACGGGACGATATTTTTTTCATATGAAATTTTGACACATCAAATAGTAAAGTATAAACATAATCAAAAGAAAAAACAATTTCAAATCAAACTTATTTGTGTAAATCAGGGGCGTCTGTTGTAGAAGATTTTGGAGGGAGTTTTAATATATCTTATTTTATTACATTTCTTACAGCCGCACTCAGAAACAGGCTGACTTCCAAAACGTCAATTGCTTTGCATACGTACAAAGTATAATGTCCCATAACTCCGAGCTACAAACTGTTGATAATGTATACTTTTCCAAAACGCATTCGAAAAGTTATCGAAACGCATCGCTAGAGCAATCAGCGCATCAGTAACAAAGTTGATGCTTCGTTTGCTTTTGGTTACCATTGGTGTTTTAAAAATGTAAAATTCAGAAAAATTGTTCATTGCTAAATTGAATATTTAAAATATGCAATGTATAAGGTTGCAATGTGTCGCAACTCTGCATATACAAACAGTTTGAATACCGCAGTATAACAGTCTCCAAACATTGTATTGGGACGTTTTGGAAGTCAGCCACATTCATTAAATTAGCTCGAATGGGCACTTAACTAATGATCGTTAAATATGTTAAGTAATGTTTCCTCTCAGAGTTAAAAGATAAGGGCTCAGGAAGTTTAAGTATGGCCCAAGTTGCGGCCCTTCTTTTTGTGGCATCACTCACTTTTTTCGTTGAGTTTGGAATCAAATATAAAAATAAGTATTTATATCATTTTGCGCACACTACGTAAACAGTCACATTGGCCTAGGGAGTAGAGCGCTGGCGTACCATTCGAGAGATCCAAGTTGGAGCCCTACTACAGAAAACTTTCTTTTTCCTTTTTTTGTTTATTATTTTATTGTTTTGTTAAATTTTTAGAAATTTTTATTTAATTTAGTTTTTTAATTTTTTTTTTTGGAAATTTTATTGTTTTTAAAAGAAAACTAATTTTTTTATTTAATTTAATTTTTAGAAACTGCAAACAGACAAACAAAACAACTAACAGGCCAATTCTGGTATCTGCCTTTCATCTCACCACAGTCTTTCGAAAGACAAAAGTCTATATTGCGACAAGAATCTTTAAAGCTCTTTTCTGTATTTCGAATGACTAATTGAAAGATCAACTAAAAACTAAAAATCTATTTAAGAAAAGCAAAAAATCAATTAAACAAGTTCCTAAATATTGAATGAAATAAAAAAATATTTATTTTTTAAACAATAAAACTTGAAAATTAAATGAAAAAAAATTAATTTAGAAAAGAAAAAAGTATTCCGTTATCGAGGATTGAACTCGGATCTCTCGAATGGCACGCCAGTGCTCTGCTTACTGCGCGATTGCGACGGTTACAGCAACGTTAGCGAAATTGAAATTGAAAACAAACCAAACAACAAATTTTATAATCTTTCGTTAAAAAGTTAAGTAATGGTTTTTCTTTACTTAACTTTAATGTTCATTAAATGCTGTTAATGAATTATTAACTGACCCTGAGGGAATTTTTTAAAAACGTTACTGAGGAAAACGTTATGTAATCATTAAATGACTCTGAGTGCGGCTGTTAGGTTTTCTACATTGTGTAAAGTTCAGAGAATGAAGTAAAATTTTCTTTTTGCACAATTACGATGTTTGATTTCTCTGTTAAAAAATGGAACTAAACAAGTCTCCAGGTTGCTCGCGCATTTCATTTACTTCAAGAAGAAGATTATTTGCAACATCAATGCAGTTCTACACAGAGCAAAGACTACCTAATATAATAGCTAGCTAATGGTTTTATTGAATAAGACAATTAATATGGCAACAATAAGGAATCTGTTGTTAGCTTCACCTCCGATTCGTGGCGTGCGCCTTGATGCTGTCACACAAAGGGGAGGGACCGACAGTTTTAAGTTTTGAATGGCAGAAATACTTTTTTGTTTATTTTATTTTTTGATGTTGGTCGGAAACTGGACTTGAACACATGCCCTGCGGAACGGTTTTTGAAAATTTTTAGATCTTTTTCCTTTGCAATCATATTTGTGGCATATACCCTTAAGTACAAACATTAGTTCAATTACTAAAATATTTATCAAACTCTTGGAGTGTTCGAACCAGTCAAATGATATCAAGCAGGGCCGCAAAGCAACAAAAATTAAGTACAGTTTAATGTTTTGTTTTTTATTCACTTTATTTCAAGGATTGGAAAATTACAATGGGCATACAAGTGTTGCTTGATATTCTCAAAGAATGGAGTTCTGCGCTTGTCGTTTTAATTTTTTTAAATATTCGTTATTCTCCATTTGAGCTAAATTATTAACCGACTTCCAAAAAAGGAGGAGGTTATCAGTTCGTCGGAATCTTTTTTTTTTTTTTTTTTTTATGTATGTTACCGCATAACTTTGCACCACGTCAACCGATTTCAATAATTCTTTTTGCAACGGAAAGGTAGTGTCTCAGGGGTGGTCCCATACTAATTTGGTTTAGATCCGATCATTGGATCATGAAATATATATATATATATATATTTTTTTTAAGTCGGTTTTTTTTTTTTGCTAAAAATTACTTGTTTTAATCTCTTCAATAATACCATTGCCTTCCCGTAGAGACGAACCATTGATTTTAAATTTTTGTATACAAGCAGAAATGCAATTGAAGTTACGGATTTATGAAAACCAAATTTTTTATGTTATTATTTGTAAACCTTTCTTTAGTTCAACGGTTAAAAAAAGAGCCCAAGAAATGGTCAAGAAAAATTTACTGCGCCGTATTTTCTTAAGCAATACGAAGATCTTAAGAAATTTGCACCGCTTTCTACTATGGTTTGC